AAAACAAGACTAGCACTAATTTAAGAAATTTCTTATTTAAAATATTGGAGAAAAAAATTACATAAAAACATCAATTTTATGAACCATAATTTAAAACTTTCCAAGCTTGAAAATAAATGATAGATTTCTGATTTCAATTTACATAGTAAAAATGAACCACATTAAAATACTCAACATTATTTTTAAAAGGAGGTTAAATTGTTCAGCATTTGAAAAATTATTGTTTACTGCTAGAAAAATTATTCATTAATACAGTCTAACAACTTTTACATTTTTGTGAAAAATGCAAACATAAATGTTTACACCTAGAATCTTCCAAATATTTCTTTTACTTCACAATTAAAAGATAAATTCATTTCTTTTAAAATAATAATTGGGGGACCATTTTGTTTTTACACTGATCAACTACATGCCTTTAAATTCAAGAAAATGTTCATGTTGATAGTTTTTACGTAAAGCACAATTCTAAATATTTTAAAGGAATCTAATGAAACCAATAATTAATCTTCGCAAACCAATCATGAAAAAGAACATTTTCTCTCCTCGCTTACCTATATGTTGGCATGGTTTGAACAGTAGCGGTCAGAGTGAGCAATACATGTAGACCTTCAGGCTAGAGGTGCTCCTCAGAGCATGCACACATACATGCTGTTACTATATAGCATACAATTCCATGATCACTTGAAGTATCAGTGTAACATCAGCGATGTGAAAAGGCCTTTATCATATGCTGATGTTTACAATTTTATGTCAAATAATTATCTATGCAAATTGCTCCAATTGCACCTTAATATAAACTAATTGTTCATGTTTCAGATTACATGCCACAGTGGATATTAACTGAAGAAAATAATATCACTTCCAGCCTAATTACTCTTTATTTTCCTTTCACATTCTGAATGTAGAAATTTGTTGCTAAATATCAGACACAAATGCTGTACCTTATGTTTACAGAAAATCATATTTTCCCATTTCGTTAAATAGTTTCAAGAATATTATTTTTGGTTGATATCTATAAATGACTACAGTTTGTTTAAGTTACCACCAAATATCATATATTTCTGTTATTTTATTTAATTTTTTTTAATTGGGCTCTCACTCCATTGCCCAGGTTGGAATGCTGTGGCATGATCATAGCTCACCACAGCCCTTACCTCCTGGGCCCAGGCCATCCTTCAGCCTCAGCCTTCCAAGTAGCTGAGACTACAGGCATGTGCTAGCATGCCCAGCTAAGTTTTGTTTTTTGTTTTGTTTTGTTTTATCTCATTTTCAACTTTTAGTGAAGACAAATTCTCGCTATGTTGCCTAGGTTGGTCTTAAACTCCTGGGTGAAGTAATCCTCTCATCTTGGCTTCCCAAAGTACTCAGATTACAGGTGTGAGCCTCCACACTCAGCAGATTCCAGTTACTTTTATTCAAAATTTCAATGGACAGTCTGGTGCCTATTTATACTGATTTCTTTTTGATACACTTTTAGAACCTAAACAACTCAAGGTACATGAACACTTCTGAGGTCTTTGCTATATAATATCAAATTGCCTTTCAAAGAAGGCATATCAGTTTCCAATTTTCTTCAGCAATGTATAGAAGATCCTGTTTTCCTGTATATTCACCAATACTAAAATATGGTTTTCTTAATTTAGCTATTTTAATAGGTTTTATTTACATTTACCTTATTACTAAGCTGTCTAACATTTTTATTGGATTTTGTAAGCCTTTTATGAATAGATTGCTCATGATTTTTGTCCACTATAATTAGCCCATTTTTAAAATGCTCTTTGGGATACAGTGAACACATGATCTAGCAACTGACGTTTCACAGAGGAAAAACTGTCTCCTAAGAGTACCACAGAAGATAAATTGCAGATCATACCCCATATATGGCATAGGAAGTTATCTGCTAAGAATCCCCAAAAGAGAAGCATATAGAATTAGTCACTTTCCACACTCCCCAGTTCTTTTCTAGCACACTTTCTCTCACCCACTGAGGTTTCTTGTCATTAGCTGTTGTGGAAAGGAACAGATTGAGTTGTGAATCAAGATCCTCTGACAAATAATTGTTCGAAAAAGCACTGCAACAGAGGGTAGCATATCAGTTGTCACAAAGATAACGATCCTTTATGCAGGCAAAGACCTTTGAATGGCTCAAAACAGAGGCTTCTTCATACACACTCAGTACAGTGATCTACTTTATCATTCATTCAAACACATTTTTTTTCTCTTCATCAGGGCATCTTTTCATTTTATTTGCTGTTCAAAACACTAGGACACAAAGGATGTTCTTCATCTTGTGTGTTACTGAAATGAAATCTTGAGGTTAAAAGGAAAAAGAAAAAAGAAAAGAAAAAAACAACGCTTGCCCTAAATTCCCTTTCAAAAGTGAAATGTGAAAAGACATCAAGCAGAGGACACAGCGTTATTGTCACAAGAAAGTCAATTCTGCAAGCCTGGCAGAGTCCAAGGCCATCGGCAGTGGCTCAATCGCTTCCTTACCCGCAATGAATAATAAGAAAAATCCAAGGATAAAGCATTCAACGTGTGGAAATGGAACTTCTCATTGTCTCTCCTCTTGATTATCATTAACATCTATGGGCACAGCTGTTTCCTCTCTCTGCCTAATCCTAAAGTCAATGTTGTAATATTGGCCCCCTTCTGGGATATCCCAAGAGCCTATTATACATCACCTCAGGTACTATTCTAGCAGGAGAAATTTCAAATTTATCTTTCATTGAGCAGCAAACTATAAAGTCTAACTATTTGATTTAGTTTGGTCCTGAGAAGATTAAAAATGATTTTTAAATTTTCATAGCCTTTTAAAAATATATTATTGGATACACAAATATGTCTTAATTACAAGTTATAAGCTGAGCTATAATACAGAATATAAAAATCAAAGACTTTTTTAAAACAAGTTACTCAATAACTATATAAAAGTCTTCATAAATTTTCTTTTAATAATGTCAGGTTTTTTTTTTCAAACAAGACGAAGAAGTAAGCCATCTTAAATTTCTTCTTGATATAATTGTATATTCTACAGAGTATGTATTTATATATCAGGGTCATTATATAAGTTGCTTTAAACTTTATAGTTTTCAAATAAAATATATTACTTATTATTTGAAGGGGGTTTTTAGAAGTCATCAAAGCAAATACACAAATATACACTAGAAACTTGAGCTATTACACTATTTCTAGCAGAGAAAATTTAATATTTGATAGACTCTTCTTGGTGTCCATTGGAAAGTTTTTTAGTTCAAGTAACATAAGAACTCATAGACTATCAGAAAACTAAGACAAGATAATATTTACATTCATAACTTTTAATAACTCATCCTATAGTAATCTCAGAGAGAAAATGCTTCTTTATTGAAAAACTATGCAATGAAAAAACTAACAAATTAACAACAAACCAGTTTCTCCATATGGTTGTTATTTTGGCAATTCTGAGACACTCCAAATTTAAATGATGAAGTTAATTGTCCACGCATGCAGAGCATATTCCTTGTGACTAAGATTTGATTATATAGCTATATACCCTAATGGACATTTAGTAGATCTTACAAGAGTTTTTATTTGATTGCTTTTGCAAATGATCTCTCCACACCACCTGCCTATAATCCTTTACTCACATAGTCTCCTGCAAACCTGAAAGTTAAAATCTACTTGGAAAATGACCACTGGTTTGAAAAAGAGTTATAATCTACCTATATACACATCTTCCCCCAAATTTACTTTACTTCGGTGTGAAGAAATGATAAGAATAATCAAAACCTATTTATTTAACGCACGTTTCAGGAAATCACTACTGTATATAGCATACTACTATGCAATTTTTAAAAAAAATTAGGTGTACAATATTCTCCTTGTCTAAATTTATGTTGCTCTCTTTGCTGAGAAAATTCTCAGAAATTTAATGGCATTCTTTGCCATATCACATCAACTCCTCTGAGAGTAAATATAGATTTTCTTAAGCATATAAAATGAATAAGATTTTAGCTGTTACCATCAATTCCCTAGGTTCTACAGGGGAATCTTGTTTTCTGGGGCCTAAGGGCAGTGGGTATTTTGACTGGAAGGTAGCTTTTATACTAGTTCTTTCTGAAGAATGCTCAGCTCACTTTGATGTCAATATTGGGTGTTATATAATTTAATAAATTGATTTTAAAGCCTTTTTTTCCCTCTAGATATCTCCTTCCTTGACTTAGTTACATTTTTTAAAAATGCGACTTTTATTATAATATTCTCCATATTAGAGTTGTATTTGGTAGAGTTTCCATAGGAGATTTGAACATTTTATCCTAGCATAGGGAGAAGTCCTAAAACACTGAACATCCCAATGCACATTGACTCCTAAGGACACACAAAAGCTCACTCTGATCTGGAAGTGGATTTGCCAACATTCAATGAGAGAACAATCAATAACAACAAAAACACCGTAATCTGGGTAGACCTAGGGGCTAAAATTATCTCTTATATCAAGCATCTTCAGTTATCTCAATGATTTTTAACTCACTAAAAAAAATAAACAAATGAACTAATAAACTTCAGTTGCAATAAAGAGGGAGCTAATGAGGAATAGCATTTTCATGCATTAGTAGAAGTGAAAAGACCATAGTATTCTCCATGGCTAGAACATACACAGTCACTTTTCTAATCTGAATGAATGCCTGCTTGTAAAATTTAGCTCTCTGTTTTCCAAATATCCATCATTCACACTAATTTTGCACTAATGGCCCTTATTTTTAACTTGGAAAGAATTTTTCTACTTCTGTGTCTATTACTTTATCCATGAGGTGACAGTAGTAAAAAGTGAATATTCATTTTTCTATTTTAAATGAGCCAAAGTTTACAACAAACCTGCAAGTTTACAACAAACTCTGACTTTTTCAAGTTAATAATCTGTGAAATGGCATTATGCCAAAAAACCTTTTGATGGCTATACTGACAAGGATGGGATAATTTGAATATTCATCAGCTAAAATTCTGAAGAAAATACATACCCAAACCTTCTGATTCAAATAGACATGTTTCATCCACCCCTAAATCTCGGCACCAGGATAAGAAATTTGCGGTATTGTCTCGGGCAAAAAAGGAGCCTGAGGGTGCACTAGCTTTGCATGGTATCTTCTTCAGTGGCAGATTCTAAAAAATAAATAAATAAATTTAAAAATTCACTATTGGCGAATATCTGGCAAAATCATCACAGTGGCACATTAAAAACACATGTATATTTTCAACAATAAGCTTTGGAATGACCTCAAGTCAATAAATAAGTTTGTGAGGGTCTACAGAAAGGTAATATAATTATACGAACTTACCTGGCATTAGGGGGCTATGAAAATCTGTAAGCACATAGTCTTTTTTTTAGTACCTAGGTGTAAATATACATAATTCCTTTTCCTGATCCAGATTGCCTCTTTTTTCTCTCTTCTATTATTTCTTTGGCTTCTCTTTTATCTAAGGGTTCTATCAGTAATTCTCACAAAGTACTTATATATTTTTATTGGTGAAAGCAGAATCAGAAAACAGAAATATGATATATGAATGTAATATATGTATAGACATATCACATACACCTGCATTCTTACATGTATACATACATACATTCCATTAAAATTTACACAAGAATTATAAAGCCAAAACAGAGCAGCAAAATTATTTGACATCACAAACCTGAATCACCAATACCAAGAAAGGGAGATATTAAAAGTCCTTTAACAATAACATTCTACAGTCTTTCTTTAAGACTATTTTCTTTTACAACATAGGGTACAGCTATACTGTGTAACACAAACATAATTCTGGTCTGAACTCTGCTATGCGACCTTGAATATATTCTTTACATTCTCATCATTTCTTTTCCAGAATAAGAAAGTATTTAAGATCGGGAAGCATGTGAATCTGAACAGACTTTTCTATTCAATGTCTCTTGTAAAATTTTTACCAGGAAATCTCCTCTGGCACAATTTCAAGTGTTTTGTTTTTTAAATAGAACTTAACCAGCTTCCATGGCATTCCATGAAGCCATAGAATGTGATTTTATGTGATGTGAATGACTGAGCCAAGCATTGGCTACATAAAGAGCAAAAAAGATCAAGGAAGAAGTACTTTGTGATTTAAATTTATAGAGAGTGTTTCCTCTATTTATTGCAAATCCTCAAATATAACCAAAATGTTGATTGTTGAATTCATTAACAAGACTGGGTATAAGAAACTAAAATAGTGGCCTATGTAAATTGGCAAAGTCCTACTAATATTAAACTTGTACTAGAGTTCTTCATGTCCTGGGATTTTGTGGTTATATAACTTAAAACATTCAGTGACTATATCACTCAAAGACTGAATCTATCTAATCTCAAAATCCATCTCTCTTTTTGTAGACTGAATCTGATTTAGGGTAGACATAATTGATGTTTTTGCATGAAAACACAACTACTTTTGCAGATATATATTTCAGGTGCAATAAATAACTATATATGTGGTTACCTATATAGTAATATCTCCTTAAATGATTTGGTTCACATATAAGTAATGGTTTTCAAAGAAATGCTTTCCTATATTAGTTGCAAGAACAATCAGAAATATCATGGTATAATATATGCTTTATAAAATATGCATGAGCATCAATTAGTATTTACCAAAATTAAGTTGTATATATCCTTAAATCCAGTAATTCATCTCTAAGAATATGTTTTAAAGATAATAGCATTAGTGCTTAAAATATATTTACAAGTGTAACTGTTGCAACACTGATTGAAAATAAAAAAAAGAAATAAAAATATGTCAAGCATGGGCTGGTGAAATAACATATTATATGCAAATACAATGCATATATATACAAATACAATGCATCTATATACAATCATTAAAAAAAGACAAATATATATGTTTTGAACTAGAAATATGCTCAGAAACTACTGTTAAGCACAAACAAATTTGCAAACATATTTGTATCATGTTTCCATTTTATGAGTGTGTATATGCATACACATTAGTGTGTGTGTATATACATGCAATGTATGTGGCCATATATATTAAATTGCTTTTAAATATGTTGCGATATGTATGTGAGTATTTATATATTTTGCTAGTACTTAGAAATAATTCAAGAAGGACATGCCATATATTGATAATAATTACCTTTGAGAAAGGGGATTAAATATTGCATCATTTACAATAAGGATCATTTACTTTTTATTTTACATAATTCCAAAATAAGTGATTCTGTGTGACTTCTATATTTTATCAATACTTTCAAACAAAAATATATAAATTATGTCAGTCAAAATATATTATAAAAGGAATGGCTGGAATAAAAATCTCCAAAAAGTGACTGCAAAACTTTTTTATGATATAAATAAAAAATATCTTTAAGAAAATAACATAAACAGATCCAAACACTGAGCCACTTTGAGATCTACCACCTATATCCCTGGAGGAAGGGAACTAACTTGTGAAACCACTTCAGACTAATGAATGAGTTTGCATACAGGAACTATAATCTAGAAACAATAAAATATTTGACATAAGAGCATGCTAAAGGACTTTATGGTGCAGATCTGTGTGGCAAAAAGGAATAAAATATCCATATTGTACCGGTGAAGCAAGAGACTGACTTGACACTTAATTCAACAAGGAACATATTTTGATAGAATGTCCACAAGTGACAGGTTCTCAAAAATCATCCAGCCTACTGTTTTTTTTCATTTAAGCAGGGTTTTTTTTTTTTAAATTTTATTTTAAAGATGTAGGGTATAATTCAGTATTAGGTATACAAATAGTCATTATACGGTTAAGTTTGGGCCTCACTTTGATCCCCACTTCACCTGGTTTGAGATCAGATACCTCTATTGGTGAAGTTGCCTCCCTCCCTCCATCATACAGAAATTCATATGGAATCATAAATGACCACAAATAACTAAAACAATCCTCAGCAAAAGAAACAAAATGGGAAATATCACACTTCTAGACTTTAAACTTTATTATAAGGCTACAATAATCAAAATAGCCTGGTATTGGTACAAGAACAGGCATATAAACCAATAGAACAGGATAGAGATTCCGAAAGCAAAATCTCACTTTCTCAACCAACTCATCTTCGACAAAGCCTCCACTAACAATCACTGAGTTAGTTAGAGGAGAACTTATACAGTAAATGGTGCTGGGAAAACTGACTGACCACATGCAGAAGAGTAAAACAAGACTCTACCTACCACCATACACAAAAATCAAACTAAATCAGCCTAAGTATTTATTTAAAATTCAATGCAATCATATTGAAAGACATGAAAGTAAGTCAAGACAAATAAAATAAAAGCTGGATGTTGATACTTCATATCTTAAAAATCCCCAGTGGGGATGAATTTAGCAGTACTATTGATCTACCACATGGCATTTAGGTAATTTGTGGGGTATTTGCTCTGTTCTAGGACTGTTAATTTGAGTGTTTTCATACCAGCTAAAGACTGAGAAGTAGTGAACAATGTGAATGGAAGCTTCCAGTCTTCATCCAGATGAAACAATTTCTTGATAGAGTTTTTAAAAGTCACCTTCATTAGTCCTCCAAAGTCAATCATATGTTACTAGGAATAAAGGTCTTTGTTCATTAAGAATTCAAAGAAGAACCTCCAGGCTTAGCTCACCTGATATATTTTTCATATTAGTTTTCTCTTTACTGCTCAGTTCTCCAAATAACTCAGCAGCATTTAAATTATACACAATTTTAACTGTTCATCCATGAAAGTTTTTCCAGACACCACTGTTATAGGTCTTCAAAAATAAATGAATGAATGAATGAATCCCCTTCAGTTAAAACCTGACCCTTCAAACTAGATCATAATCAACTTGAGGATAGGACTAAATATTCTGTATTCGGGTTTTGACATCCCCAAGGGACATGCTTCCAGAGCCTTCAAAATTCACTAAATTTATAGTATAACTATATATAAAATGCATCCCATAAATTCAGAGAGGCATAACTGAAAAATGTCAGCAATATCCTCAAACCTTTTTTTTGAAAGTTACTGAATATGCGTAGAGAACAGTCAAGCTGTTGCATGGAAATTTAGGTTTGCTCATTGATGAGTAAGAGTCTTGGTGTTGTTTTGTTTTGTTTTATTTTGTTTTTGAGGTAGAGTCTCTCTATCCCAGCCTAGAGTGCAGTAACACAATCCTGGCTTTCTGCAGACTCAACTTCCTGGGCTCAAGCAATCCTCCCACCTCAGCCTATCGAGTAGCTGGGACTAAAGGCGAGTGCCACGATGACCAGCTAATTTTTATTTTTATTATTTTCTGTAGATACCAGGTCTTGCTAAGTTGCCCTGGCTGGTCTCAAACTCCAGGCCTCAAGCGTTCCTCCTGCTTCAGCCTCTTAAAGTGCTGCGATTACAGACATGTGCCACTGCACCTGAGCTAGAGTCTTGTTATTGTACACCAGACACCATGGTGTGGGATTCAATACTACCAATAAACGATTGGGATCTTGTGCAAGCAGTCAGTAGGATGTATATCAAATTATTCAATATCAAGACTATTGTTCGTATATCTCAGCAGGATTAACCCAAGATATATGCTTAAAATACTTATAGATTGTTTGATTTACCTATAAGAGAACAATTTCACATTCCAAAAGTGTCTTCCGCATCCCCTTCAGGCAACAACCAAGATTGGTTGCAATAAAAAGAATAAAATTAGATTTTCTTCTAAAGGCTTTTAATTGAATCTACTATCTTTCAGGTTAATCACCAGGTAGAGTACCGAAGTCTGATTTCCTGAGGTCAAACTCAGTTATATTGCCTTTATGCTAGTATATATCTTGAGAAATTTATTAAAGTCTGTATTTTAGTCTCCTTTTATATATAATGCACTTAGAAAAAAACACACACCTCACTGGCTATGTGTGTGTGAGTGCAAATTAAATATTATAATTCAAATGTACTAGTAAGTGTTCAATAAAGGCCGTTAATGCAAGTAAAAGCACACTGGATTACCCATGATTTCCTTCTCTCTCTTTCTCTCTCTTTTTTTTTTTCCAACATTGCATTCTTTCCATTATCGGTACAAGAATTTAGAAAGAGACTGGCAAATAATTACTTCTTCCTATCTTCACCGAAACTTAGCATCTAGAATAGTTTTCTAATAAA